GTAGCTGATGTGCCTGGTAAGCAGAGAACATACGATACGATTCTCACAATGTGGTTGTACGGGACCTTCTTTTGGTCGAAATGTCGAAAACATTCAACCCAGCGTTCATCGGTGTCAGTGTTATTTTCTTCCCACGATTGGATCTTCTCTGAGGTAACGTATTTTTCCAAATATGTGAACTGATCGAATAAATCAGTGTCAGATGATTCTATGTCAAAATGATTATTCTTTGCAATGCTCTTCGCGGTACTTCGATAAACTCCCATTTTGGTGGTTGATCAAGTGCACACCAGGCGCATATCATAATATGGTCGAATTGTTCAATTCACTTTTCAATGTATTCGATACATGACAAATGAGCAAAATCTTTAGAATTAAAAAGAATAAAATTAATATTCGAACCGTCGGATTGACGAGAGATCTTTCATTCGTTCTTTTGACACTCTTTTGTCAACAGCAGAAACTAGTCCAATTTCCTTTTGCACTGTTGCTGACAAAAAAGCACACTTTTTCTGAGTTTGGAGCGATTCGAAAAAAACATTAAGTGCGTGCCCAACTTCCATTGCATTGATGTTGTCGTAAAAAATTAGGGGTATTCTCGAAGTCTTGCACGATGCACGGATTGCACGAAATGCAAAAATACTAGGGGTATTCTCCAAATCTTGCAAAGCCATTGCACGTAGCACGGATTGCATGGATTGCATAACTTACAAACACACAACAACAAAATACATGGGAAACGACATTTCCTATCGCTGCAAAATATGCAATGTCGAAACCCATGTATATATTTTGCAAAATAGCATAGCAAGATTGTTTTGTTGTTGGAATTGCTACATATTTCTCTCATTCCTCTCATCTCGCTCACTTTATTTTTTTCTGCTGTCTCTTGTTATTGTATTTGATACATAATTTCGCTGCTTGCTACCCATGCATTCTACCACTTTGCAATGGGGTGCTCTCGTACTGTTCGAAATTAGGAATAGTATTTTTGCATTTCGTGCAATCCGTGCATCGTGCAAGACTTCGAGAATACCCCTAATATTCCAAATTTCGAAGAGTACGAGAACACCCCATTGCAAAGTGGTAGCATGCATGGGGAGCAAGCAGCGAAATTATGTATCAAATACAATAACAAGAGACAGCAAAAAAAAATTAAGTGAGCGAGATGAGAGGAATGAGAGAAATATGTAGCAATTCCAACAACAAAACAACTAGCACAGGGTCGCTATTATCTTGCTATGCTATTTTGCAAAATATATACATGGGTTTCGACGTTGCATATTTTGCAGCGATAGGAAATGTTGTTTCCCATGAATTTTCTTGTTGTGTGTTTGCAATTTATGCAATCCGTGCAATCCGTGCTACGTGCAATGGCTTTGCAAGATTTGGAGAATACCCCTATTGTAAAATTGGTTAGTAAAATTTCTGAAAATTGGAAGGTCGACGGTACAAAATGTATTGTCAAATATCAAGAAAAATTGCAGCACTATAAATCAAATAGTGGAGAAGGATGTTCCAAGGACTTTGAAAAGGAATCCGAATCTCTCTGAACGTGTTGTTGCACCTGGAGTGTTGTTCTGAGAGCCTGTATTGTTTTGGCTGACTTGGTAACAAGCCATTGTGCAAAAATGCGCAAGAGTTTTATATACAAAATGGAATCAACATTGTACTAAAAGAGGCCAATCCTCCGAATTGCCCAGAGCTCCAAACGATCGAGCGTTATTGGGCCTATATGAAATCAAAATTAAAAAGAAACAAAGTGCACACCTTCAAAAACAAACGCAGTTCCACAGAATGTGGCGAAAACAAGCTCAATCGATCAACGAAATGGATGTCCAAGTATTAATGGCGGGTGTCATCTCTAAAGTACGGGTATTTTGGCGTGGAAATTAATTCTAATAATATTTGTAAATCGTTCAACTAAATAGAAATAAAAGAAGGTTCTAAAAAAGTTTCTACTGAATTATTCATATTTAAATTAGTTTTTTTGTTACTTAATACCTGCCAGATTTCAACTGAAGCAGATCTTACTCTAAAAAAGAATCGATGCCCGTACTCATATTTGGAAAAAAGTATCGATAATACTCGAACTTGCAAGTATTTTTAGGGCAAATCTGGAAAGTTAACAAAAATTAGACTGCTTTGTTTACATATACACATTTATGACCGCTTTCTTTTTGTAAATTGAATAGACATTGCTTTTAATAGCTGAAGTCTGATCTAACAAGCATTTCTAACGGAGTTTTTGAAAAGAACGTTTAAGTTTAAAAGCGTAAAATAAAAGTTTATAGCAAAAGGTTTATTTGAAGCTTTAAAAAGCAACTAAAGCCATTGTCTAAAGGAAAGATGAGCTACATTTCACAAAAAGTTTCTTCGAAAGCGGGCTGGATTTCTAATTTAAAACCAAGGTAGAATACATTGGAAAACGAAGGCTTCGTTATTATGGAGAACTGCCAAGTTATCGAGCCGAAGACCACCCTCCTAACCCATTCCGTACACCGGGACAAAAAAAAGGGGGTGTGCTTTTAACCAGACCCACTTGCCGCCACATATTTCGACCCACTAAATCCGAATCTGAGGTCCGTTTGACTCGTTTTTGCCATTTTTTCACAATTTTTGAAATTAACTCCAAATTTAGGAGGTGTACGAGTTATACGTTTTTAACGCTTTTTATGCGTTTTTTTTTTGTTTGAAATGGATAGTAGGCGTAATTTTGGTCCGATTTCGAAAATTTTCAACATATAGATTTTTTATGCCAAGGCCAATAATTGCTCTGAGTTTGGGACAAATTGATAAATCGGTTATCGAGACACACATACAGTGAACCAAATAAAAACAGGGACGCGACATTTTAGTATGTTTTGGCCATTTTTCCTTAGTTTATTTATTGTTTTTTTTTTATGATAATATAGCTGATTAATTAACAAACACGATGTAAATCCAAACTTCAGACTTTGTGCAAAAGTTATGAAAACTCAGCAAAGTTTGACCAAAATTTATAGCTCTATTCAACAATTTATATTGAGGTCGAGGCCGTTTTTTAAATGAAAATTTATTGTGGAAAACAACAATAATTTGAAAAAATGGTAGAAGTGATAGCTATTTCGGAAATCACCACATTTCCTCATCAGACTTCTTTCAGTAGGATTCGAACCGACGATCCCACTGACTCGGCCAGTTGCCTAAGCACCGTGCTGAGTACGCCTTGTAAATTATCGTTTGCTTTTTTCCACTATTTTCATTTTTGTTATGCCAACACAATCAAGCGCAGCTATTCCGCTGCAATTCACTTGATCATGTGGTTGTTCGACATTTCCTCATCAGACTTCTTTCAGTAGGATTCGAACCGACGATCCCACTGACTCAGCCAGTTGCCTATGCACCGTGCTAAGTACGCCTTGTAAATTATCGTTTGCTTTTTCCACTATTTTCATTTTTCTTATGCCAACACAATCAAGCGCTGCAATTCACTTGATCATGTGGTTGTTGGTATTGTTGGTTTTTTCCTAGTAATTCTATTTTTAGAATGTTTAACTTTTTCATGTTTACTATGCGTTATTTCCCTCAGTGAATCCATAACATTTTTCTGGATATTAAAATGCGTTTTTTCACTTAGTGTAGTGGTTTTTGAACTTTTATTCAAATTTGTGCAATCAAATCAAAAACCGGGACACTAAAACGAAACCCGGGACATTTTAAGGTTGGACCGGGACATCGGGATAACTAGTCTAAAACCGGGACATATCCGGGAAAACAGGGATGTCTGGCAGCCCTATCCCAAAGGTGATGTCACACTCCAAACTCGAAGGGCTAACCTAGAGCGGAATGTCTATAGGAATCTCTCTATACCTAAACCCTTATCGAATCATAATCCATCCACCTTGAATGGGCGCTATCATTCTCCAAAGAGGAAGTGTGGACGCTTTACCGGGCCTACTCCTACACCCGAAGCATATCCCACAAGTAAACGTGAAACCTATCACCAATTATATACGCATCCTCCAAGCTCACACACTTTCTCATGCAATAACACTCTCAAGCACGCATTTACCTCAACTC